AACCACAGTTTTGTTGTTTTTTTCTATAATACCTTCTTTAAAATGAAGCCATCTATTTGTAACAGTTGTGATAAAATCTAGATACAGCCCAGTGTCTAGCCATTGCCAAGTGTGAAGTATTAGCATTAGTCTGCCTTTATTTAACTCTGAGGAATAAGCACTGATGATATGGGGATTTCGAAATCCTAAAATGCAAAATCTGTTGTATTTGGAGTGGTTACGTGTCAGGGATTAGTAGCAACGGTTAAGATTTTCATTGTTGCAGAACAAATGCAAATGGAAGGAATTAAACCAAGTAATAGTAAGTCCTTCCTGGTGTGGTACAGAACATGGGGGAATGCTCAGTATGGACTGAGGGGAGATCCTGGAAAAACCTTTGGGAATGGGATTGAGCCAGACAGTGGGGAAGGTCAGAGCTGGTAGGGTCTTTGGAGGTCTTTATTCAAAGACAGTCATTTATAGGGAGGAAACTGAGGTTGAGAAAGGCAAGTGCTAAGGTTCCTGACTCACAACTGCTTAGTGATAGAGCTGAGCCCCAGTCTCAGAGCTGAGGCAATGTGTTTTCTGCAGTATGGAGGGACTGTGACAATGAGTCTGGCAGGGCCAGGGCTGGAGGAGAGCCTTTAAGGGGCCCTTGCAGGCCTCATAGGAGATGTTGACCCAATAGTTTGGTGTTTTAGGCTGGCTTGTGTTTAGGGACAGATCCTACCTCCACAGGAAGAGGGAAGGAAGCAAGCAGACAGGGTATGGAAGGCAGGACTGTCAGTGCTGGGGAAGTTTCCATGGAGACAAAAGTTGGTGATGCTGGAGGCAAGGTATGGTTTTTCTGCCTGAGTTCAAGTCCAATTGGTTTTGTTCTGTCCTTGCTTCCTGTTTTCCTCTGTTGCTTTACCATTCTGCTCAGAGGCAGAATCTGCCATTGCTTCTCTTTCTAAAGGGCTTTTGCAGAAATAAATGGATCTGACCACTTTACTTTCCCACCCCAGCCAGGGATCAGTGACCTTGACTTGTTTCCCTTCCTTCCTTTTTCTTTTCAAGTTTTATTTCATTTTTAATTGATGCATAATTGTATATATTTGTGGAGTACAATGTGATGTTTCAATACATGTAAACATTCTGTGATGACCAACTTGGGATTACTAACATATCCATCACCTCAAACATTCATAATTCCTTTGTTTATCCTTCTAGTGAGAGAGCTCAGAGTCCAGGTAAAAGCCTAGCTACTCGGGTCTCGATTTCCCAGTTCCTGAAGGCACAGCTAGGTGATTTCTTAAAACTGGCTAGGCTAATTCCTGCAAGACTGGACCTTGGCAGCCCCATCCAGCCTGTTGAAAGGCTGCTACTCTGTGCAGGGTCATTCTTACCTTATGGTGATCCTGAGAACCAAGTCCAGCAGATGTGTTGGTCTCCACCTAGTGAGTGCCCAGGTGTTCCTGACTTTTTGCTTCTGTGGGTTCATCAGGACCTCCCTGAAGCCCTGTGAGGAAGATGCTGTGATTATATTGGCGTCATGGATGAGGAATATTCTTAGGGACACTAGCCTGGAAGGCAAGGTCAGGAATCAAAGCCCAGGCTGTTTTACTTCCAGGGCTCTGCTCTCCCTTCTGCTAGCAGGAAGCTGGAGAGCGGGAAACATTGGAGCAGGGTGGCAAGAAACAAGGGTTTGGAAGATGGAAGGGTTTACTACTGATGGAGGACAAGCAGGTGGCCTTGGGAACCTTTGCCAGCCTCTCCCAGTCTAGAGGGCCATTGAGACTCAGGTGTTTCTAAGTGAGCTGCATAGGATGGTTTTCTTTAACAGAGGGAGGTTTTTGCAGAGCTGGGAGCAAAATTGGGAAATGCTCACTGACATGGTAGGGCAGTGACAAGACCACAGCTGGATGCCGGAGTCCTGGGTTTTAATCCCAACTGCCTGTATCTATTTTACATCAGATAGGACATTTACTATTTGAACCTCAGTTTTCCTATTTGAACTTCAGTTGCCATGAAGCACCATACTTTCTGAGATCTCCCTGTAGAGAGCCTATAGGTTGAGTCTTGGATGTTCAAATGGGGCCTCAAGAAAGGGATGCAGGAAAAGATTTACAAGGGGTTCATTGGGAGGGAGTTTGTTCTAGGAAACTTAAACAGACCCTGGAGCTGTCACACAGGCTGCCCCTTAGTAGGGAAAGTGTGGAGCATGCCCCAAGAGTGCAAGGCCTTTGTCTTAGAGGATGGTACTTCCCATCTGGAGGATCTGTGTTTACTTCTTCCCCCTTCCACCCAGAGCCACTGTACTTTGCTCTTCACACTCAGGGGAGACGGTTAAATATTTAACAACAGGTATCGCAGGGGACAGATTGCTCAGAGCAGTCATGACTGTGAACAGCTGGTGTAAGACTGGACCATGGTGTGCCAATCTGGCTCCTACCACTGATTCCTCCTGACAAGGCTTGGCTTGGCAGCCAAAGAACAAAGAAGGCTGAGGAGGGAGGATGGGGGAGCAAGAGGTTGAGGGAGTAAGGCAGGAAGAGGGGTCTACAGGTGCTCCCAGACACCAGCCCATCCTTCCTAGAGCCCTGTCATGCTGCTCACCCAGCCTCACCACAGCCTTTGAGAACTTCCTTCCTATGTTCTGGGTCCTACCCTCAGAAGTCGTGCTCACCACTGCATTTTGGAGGCTGGTGAGACAAAAGGGATGGGCTCTGCATTCTGCATGATCATCCAAACTTGACAATAGGCAGGGAACTCCAGTCTGTCTGCTTTACTAAGCCTGACAGTCTGAAACCAGGGTTTGTCTCATCCACTCGGCCATTGACTGCCAAGTCTCATAGAAAACCTCAAAGCCTCACTTCCCTGTGTTTTCCTTAGGTCTTTGCCACCATGTGCCAAGACTGCTGTTAGTCTCCTGATTGCTCCTCACCCCCAACTTCAGGGACTGCCCTTTTGTTCCCGATGAAGATTCCTGATTGTTTATCAACTGTCAGTAGTCAGATTTCAATCAGTGTTTCCCGACTGAGTAATAAGGTCTCTTGTACTTGCTAGGTAGGCGCTTTACCACTTGAACTATGCCCCCAGCCCTTTTTAACTTTAGTTTATTTTTCAGATAGGATCTCAGGCTTTTGCCTTGACTGGCCTTGGACTATGATCTTCCTGCCTTCATCTTCAGAGAATCTGGGATTACAAGCATGAGCCACTATGCCCAGCTCTCATAAGTCTTTTATTAGCTATAGGAGAGAGGGTGGGTGCCAGAGAGGTAGGAGACATGGCCCCTGCCCTCAGAGAGCCTCCATTGTTTGTGAGATCTGATGTGTGACCAGGGAAAAGATCACCAAAATATAACACATTCTTAGATATCATGTTATATTTGAGGCTTGCCTAAGTCCAGCACGGTGTAAAGCTCTAGAACGATGATTAAAGTGGACCATGACTTATGTGATAGGTGAGTATGATTACATTAAGTTATTAGCTAGGTTGCTAGGAGTTGGGAAATAAAGCAGTGTTCTCTAGAAGTTACCTTGAGTTCACTAGGAACAATTTACGCATACTTATCTTGTTTCCTTTCTTGATAAGATTCTAGAGCTTGGTTCAAAGGAGTACCTTAGAGTTAGTATCTATTGAGTTCAATGGGACATTAGGGAAAAGCACTCATGTTATTCTTATATAAAAGAGGGTTGGAAAACAGCAGTCACATGGATTTAGAGCTGATTTAAGAATTGTGCCCTCAAGTAGTATGAATAGTCCTCTGGCATCCCAAGATAAGATTGTTGTATTGTTGGTGTCTATGTCCTTAGCGTAGTCAACGTTTTCAGCAGTGTTGTGGATGATGACCATGGAAGCATTCTAATCTGATAATGATCCTAAGATTCAAGACTCAAAAATATATTGATTCCCAAACTAAGAATATTCAATAGGGATAAAAGCAGAACCCCATAACTATGCCCAAAAAATTACATTAGGGTTGGGAAGAGTCCAGTTGGGCAGCAGTGAATGTGGAAGCTTTGATACCATGCTGAACCCATCCAGGTGGTCTGAAAGCATGTTTAGAAACTGGTGGTCAAGGGTGCTTTTGCCCTCAGGAGAAGTCCATACTGATGGTTGGACTTACTTTAGAAGTTGTGCAGCAACCATGACTGGGCCAGTGTTCTTCCTCCTCAAGCTGGTCATTACTGAGATAGGCTTCCCCTGTGGCAAGCCAAGGACTTAACCCTTTCCGTTCCAATCACTGCCCAACTGTTGGCTGGCCATCAGTTCCACTATCTGGCCAGAACAGTGTCCTCTCTCCTTGGTTATGAAAAGCACATCTGACCGTATTTCTTCCATTCCAATGGTCAGCCTTTACCCAGCGTGCGCTCTCCTGACTCTCCAGGAGACCTCTCTGAGGGCATTTGGCCTCTAGATGGATGGGTGAACTGTTGCCTTGTAGATATTTCACATTAATCTAAATATATCCTACTGGGCAGGAAACAGTATGTCTCTGAATTCTTCCATTCTCTACTCCTCTGGAGGCCCTTGCTTCCATGTAATTAGCTTGGTGTTTCCTCTGCTAGCTGATCCACCCTTCCTTTCCCATTGGATTATGCCTTTAAAATTGTCATCCTAGATACTGAAATGAATAAGGTGAGTCAGTGAACCTGCTGGACACTGATCTTCCAGAGGACAGGCAGAAGGATCTCATTCTGCACAGTCATGGAGAGTGCACAATGAACACTAGCTCAGACCAACTGGTTGTTACATTCTGTCACTACAGCCATCCTCTCTTCTCAGGGCCAAGGAGAAGGAATGGAAAAGTGTTTATGGCAGGAAACACTTGGTGGCCTAGTGAGGGCAGGTGAATGCTGCCAGGTGGAAGGAGCTGCAGGAAGCAAAAGCTGTGGGAGAAAGAAGGGGACTTGGCTATTATGCTGAGGGTGCTTGACAGCTTGTGGGACAATGAAGCTCTGAAAGCAGGGTAATCTCTGTCCCTGCCTGGCTGGCTGCCATGCCTGACTACCTGTGTTCTCTGTTGTGCTGCCTAGATTGCGATGAGGACCTAGGGCACCTGCCTGCTGACCACCCCAGCCTACGGTGACCATGGCCCCCCGCAAGAGGAGCCGCCATGGCCTGGGATTCCTTTGCTGCTTTGGGGGCAGTGACCTCCCTGAGATTGACCTCCGGGACAACCACCCGCTGCAGTACATGGAGTTCTCCAGCCCCATCCCAAACCCAGAAGAGCTCAACGTCTGCTTCGCAGAGCTGGTGGTCAGTGAGGGGTGGAGAAGGGAAGGTGTCGATGATGGGGAGAAGGGTAGATGGGGAAGAAGAGCAGGTCAGAGAACAGAAGCCCATGTTCTGGGGTCTCCACCTCTTTTCTTGGGACTGAAGTGAACCCCTAAATCCTGCTGTGTGGGGAAACAGAAATTGTCCCCAGAACAATGGATATTGGATTCTAGACCATGTGGTACAGTAGTCTGTCTGCCACAGGAAAAGGGTGGATCCAGGTGTTTGTGAAGTAAGGTAATGTGGAGTCTCAAAAAAAAACCATTTTATTTATTTATTTATTTTTATTGTTGTGCTGGGTAGGAGTGTATTGTGGCACATACAGAACTTCTTACGATATATCAAATATATCATATGTATCATTCTTGAATTTACCTCCTCCACCATTCTCCTCTACCCGCCCCCCTATTCCTGGAACAGTTTCAATAGATCATTTTTCCATTTATATATATATGTACACTATAGTCACCCTCCCATGTCCTTTCCCTACCTCTTCCCCCCTCCCACTGGTACCAAACCCCCAGACAGGACCTGTTCCACCTTCCTGTTCTCTGATTTTGTAAAAGAAAAAAAAATGACATTTTTGTTTGTTTAAGATAGCTACACAGGGAGTTTCCTTGTGACATTTCCTTGCATATATGTATTATAGCCCAAATTGGTTTATCTCCTCTATTTTTCTTCTTTCTACCTTAGTCCCCTTCTTATGGTGGTTTCAACAAAAACATAGAACTCTTGATACTTTCTCTCTTCTGCTTTCTGGAGTTTCCCTGGGATCTTTGAATTTCAGAGCCAGGAAGAAGGGACAGAATGGGATTCTACAGATGGCATCTTAGAATAAGGGATTACTTACTAGAAATATGGAGATAAACATGCCTATATCATGCCTAGGACCTTGATCATGCCTAGGTTCAGAATGACTATGTTCTGTATATAGCCAGAGTTGCCATTCATAGCACTAGACCTTCCTGACCCTGCAATGACCACTGAGACAAACGCATCATCCACCTTTCTGAGAAGCATTGTGTATGAAACTTCATGTTCTGACCAAGGAGACAGAACAGGATGAAAGTGAGATTCTCCTCTTTGGAGGTCTGTCGGTGAGATGAAGCCTGCACACCAAGAATGGTCTCGTTGGTACATGACCTGCACCTTGGCACACAGCCATAAGCACAAGTTCATGTACCATAAACTTGAATGGTTACTCATTCTCTTGGTGAGTCAGTAGTCAAGCCAGAGTAGCTTTGGACTTGTATTTGCTAATATAGATGCATCTGGTTAAGGCAGTCCAGCCCTTCAAAACACAGGGCCACTATAAGAGGAGACTGTATGGTTCTGTAAGAAAGTTCTCCAGCTTCCTTATCACATCAGGTTCAGAAAAAGTCATTGTTTCCTGGTTATACATTTCTCCAGGATGTGACTGGAGAATGAAGTATTTGCTAGTATAGAATACCATTTGGAGCCTGGTTGATGGTAGCTAGGGATGTTTTTCTTCAGTAGTATATGTGAGTTTTGAATACGGATGGGATGAGAGGTAATATTTACTGAGCATCTTCAGTGAGCAGAATCTCTGCAACCCACTTACTCAAGATAAGTCTTGCCTGCAAGGAGACTAGTATGAGGTATTGATCAAACAAATGAAAAATACTGCCAAGTTTTGGGCCTTATGACCCTCCTAGAGGGTCCTTCCTCCAGAACAGGAAGTCTGTTAGGGAAGACTGATGTTGAAGAACAAGATGATGTGGTAAGTGTTAGGACAGAGAGAGTGGGAGTATCTAGCAGGGAGGCTTTATCCAAGATTTGTATCTCAATGGCCTTTATGAAGCAGTGACAGTTTTGCTGAGACTCCCAAAGGTACAGTGAAGTTAGATAAGTGAGTAGGAATCCAGAATGATGACAGAGGGTCCCTTGAAGAAGAAACAGCATAGGTGAGAGTTGCAGGTCAGGAAATAGCTGGATCCTTTAAGGAGACACACTGAAGACCAGAATATTTAAGGATTTGGGGTTCAGTCCTTAGGGCAATGGAAAGCCATGAAAGTTTTGAGGTGATCTGATCTGCTGTTTGCAAAGGCCATTCAGGGCACTCTGCTGAAGAAGGGATCTAGGTTGATCATTAGGAGATTTTTGTAGAGCTTCTAGAAAAAAAATGGTGCTTGGACGAAAATTTCAGTGGAGAAGAGCCATGGGAGGAGACATAATGGGACTCAGGAGGATCTATGAATGAGTAGAAATCAAGGAACACCCAGGTTCCTGACATGAAGAGCTGGGTGAGTGTTAGTCCTGTACAGGACAAGCTATACTGAAAGAGGCTCAAATTTAGGGGTCTGGAAAGATGAATTCAACTTTCGTAGTCTCTCTTTATATCAGTTTTTTTTCATTTGTAAAATGGATTGTTGCAAGTTAAAAAAAAACCAAATAAACAAATAACATCCAGTTCAAATAAACTTTGAGCATATGTGTATGAGGTACCTGAGGGACCACAAAGTGGAGAGGTGCAGGAGGCAGCTCTGCCAGGGTCCAGAGCTCAGAAAACTGGTGGTTCATGAGGGTTTGAATAGTAACTGAGTCCTGGGAATTGGGTGGGAAGGCTTCACCTCAGGTGAAGTACTGAGAGAGGAGAGAAAAAGGACACAGGAAGGTACCCCATGGACTTCAACATTTGAAGGTAGAAGAAACAGTATCAATGGAGCCTGAGAAGGAACATAGACTGTAGCCTGAGGAACTGCCTGAAAATATGGTTGCTGAAGAAACCAGGAAAGAGATTCACTAAGGAGTGAGTGATCAGCAAATTCCCATGAGACTTTAACTGATCTGAGCAAAATCTCTAACAGATGCTCATTGATTTAGAGATGGAGGCCACTGGCTAGAAAAGATAAGGGTATAAATAACCAGAATTCAAGGTCAAACACGACTGCTCTGTAGTTTGGGGAGGGAGAAAGCAATCTTACTTGGAAAGGCAAAGAAAGGCTTGCTGAAGGAGGCTGAACCTGAGCCACAGGAATTAGACCAGTGTCTTCACTCTTCATGGTTTGGTAGGGATGACTGTCTAGGTAGAACTAACTGTAAAAAAAGTCATAAGGTTGAAGAGGGCTGAATTTGTGCTGGGAATGTAAGGCATACATAATTCACTTTTCTTTTATTTCTGATTTTCACCTTAAAAATTCTGGGAATTTTGACCCAGAGCATTCCTGGGACATGTTGTCATTTGGCACAAAATCTGTAGGCGTCTTTAGCTCCAAAGGCGGGTAACTGGTGGGTGTTGACCAAATGCCAGTCACTGGTCACCTGGGGCTATTGAACCAAGATGAGCTTTAAGTGGGAAACACACATCACATTTTGAAGAACTTTACTTGAAAAAAAGAATCTAAAATGACTTACTGATCATTTTTTATATTTATTATATGTTGAAATGATCATATTTTAGTTATATTGGCTGAGATATACAATTTTTTTTTTGTATGGGGGCTTGAACTCAGGGCCTTCACCTTGAGCCACTCCACCAGGCCTATTTTTGTGAAGGGTTTTTCGAGATAGGGTCTTGCAGAACTATTTGTCTGTGCTGGCTTTGAATTGTGATCCTCCTGATCTCTGCCTCCTGAGTAGCTAGGATTACAGGTGTGAACTACTGGTGCCTGGCAATAAATACACTATTAAAATTAACTTCATCTCTTTTTTCTTCATAATTTTTAATGAGACTAGAAAAATTTTAAAATACATATGCTGCTCCTATTACATATCTAGTTCACAATTCTGATTGCTATGAAATCTCAAATATTCTCCCTCAAATGAGAGTATAGACAAAAGATTATAGTTGTTGAGATTTAACAGATGCTACTTTCACTGTTTATCATATTCAAAAATATAATGTGTAGTAATGCTATGCTTTGTGGTCTTAATGTGGGGTTGATTTTGATTTTTAAAGAGCTCACAATGGAGTTGAAAAGCACTCTATGTTCCCCATGACCTGTTAACTATTTCTTTGATGAGCCCTGGAATTGCTCATGAACTACAGGATAAAAACTTAAAAAAAGAACCATTTAGGGATCAACCATTTATAGGACAAACCTATAAAGTCACCCCAAACTACCTATAGAGTGGCCCCCGATATGATAACCTCAGTTCTAGTTCTACTCCTCAGAGAGTATGGACTGGCCTGGAGCCTTGAGTGTTCATAGCCTTGTCTTGGTGTTCCCACAGGTGGAAGGGCTGCCTCCACCAGGAACTGCTTCACAGGAAGCAGACTGATGCCCTCCTACTCTGCTTAGCCCCTTGTCCAACATCCCCAGCTCATGCTATGATCCACACTGAAATTGGGGGAGCCAGATAATTTCTGGTGGAGAGACTCAAGGGGCAGGCAGATTTAAGGATGGATCAAGGATCTGAGAGAAGCAGGACCAGATCTGTAGAAGACTCCTTTCTTTGTCAGTCCTTGATTGTAGTGTTGACAAGCTTAGGAAGAACCAGGCAAGAAGATAAGAAACCTAGGACAAGGAAGAGCGAGCAGCTAAGCAATTCAGAAGAGCAGGGAACAGGGTGGCCTGGTGGAGGAGGAGGGCTTGCAGAGACAATGTGGGGTGTACAGGAAGCAGGGACCATGGAGAGAAGAAGCATAGCCTTGGTTGGGGCAAGGCCATAAGGCTGTACTTCTAGTAGAAAAAGAAATACTCATCATAGCTTTGATGCTCTTTGGGAGAAAGACAGCAAACTGGGGGATAGGTTTGGAGCACTGTAATTTTCTGTAGGGCTGAATATTCGAATCTCGACTGTCTTTGGGTTTCAGACATGCTTCTCCTTGTCTTTGCAGGATGAATTGGATCTCACCGATAAAAACCGGGAGGCTGTTTTTGCACTGCCACCTGAGAAGAAATGGCAGATCTACTGCAGCAAGAAGAAGGTGCCCTCCCTCCCTGGCCCTTCCCATTGCATCTTAGGGTCCCCAGCAGGGGCGGCTCTTGATGCCTTCCTTGCTTTTTCATTCAACTGATGGTTGTGTACATCAGCACCATTCTAGGTTTTGTTGGAACAGCAGTGAAGAAAGCAGGAAAACAACAAATATCCCTGTCCTCACAGGGCTTCTACACAGGAAACTAGGATTTTCTTTTCCAAAAATCTGTTAGGCAGGCACCCGCCAGGTTGCAAGAGTGGGCTGGGTCACGGAGATCGAAGAGAAGTCTTGATGCCCTTCTTGTGCCTTTTGGCTGGCATAGTGGCACAGTGGACTGGGCCATTCCCTGTGCAGCGTGGTCATAAGAACTCAGTTTGCAGGGGTGAGAGTAGGGAGTCTGCTTGTGGATATTTAGCCCCTGTCCTGTCCTATGCCAGAGGTCACACATGGGTCCTTGTTCTCATGGCTCCTCCCTCTGCTGTTGTTCACTTACAGATTCTGTTGGTCTCCTGGCTGTGCCCTCCCTAGGCAGGGGTGTGCTGGGCTCCAAGCAGGGCTCAACTGGGTTTTATCTGCCTACTCTGTTTGCCAGTGGCTGCATTCTCTCTTCCTTAGTCTTTCTTCATCTCTGCATTTCTTTTGCTCATCTCTCTCTTACTCCCTTTATTTTAGCCTTTTTGTTTCTTTCACTCTTGATCTTCTTTTGGGCTGTCTTCCTCCTCTTCCTTCTGTCCTTTTATTTTTCAGACTTGGGATGCAGCTCATTCCTCTGACCTTAGTGTGGAATTTGGGGATGAGAGCCCTGGTTATTCCTGCACCCTCCTGCAGGGTCTCAGCTGTTCCTTCTTCAGACTCCCTGTGCCCAGTCATAGCCCTTCTCTTACTCTCCCTGGTGAGGACATTTGTTCCATCCTCAGGGCTCCATACTGAGCCAGGCTAGCCTTATAAAATGGGAGGATTAGAATAACACATACTTTCAGGGTTGGAGGGAAGTTGAGAAATAATTCAATCAAGGCTTTTATTCTACATAGGAAGCAAGGACAGCCTAGAGATGCAGTGAAATCACCCAGTCACCTAGCCAGTGATAAATCACAGACCCAGGAGGGGCTCCTATGTCTTTGTAGAACTCATGGTCTTGGGAGTTTCTCCTTCTCTTTTTGTAGTTGCTATTTATTGAGTATCTACTTGGCACTGTACCAAATGCTTTATACCAGGATTATCAAACAATCTGAGGGACCAAGCTTTTAAATTTCTAAACCACCATGTATCACTCACTGCTTTTATATAATATAAGAATAATATCATCAGAAAATTGAAGGTATGAAATATATTAAACACAAATTTGCATTAGATTTAAAGAATTTTATTTAATAAAATTACATTTTATTAAACTTAGATATAGTAGGAGAAAAGAATATTTTAAACATTGAACATGATGGTCATTGAAAGTGTACATCTGCATTGGTTGGTTATGAGATTCAGTGTTGGTTGTCAGCATTTTACCAAGGAAAAAATGGAAACCTGGGAAGACTTTGCATCTTCCTCCGAGTAGCCCTTGTGGGCAGAGCTGGGAATCAAATCCCTCTGCTGAGCTCAGTGCATCTCCAGCCATGGACCTGTCTTGTCGGTTGGTCCATACCATCCTTTTTGTTCCAGGAACAGGAGGACCCCAACAAGCTGGCAACCAGCTGGCCTGACTATTACATTGACCGGATCAATTCCATGGCTGCCGTGAGTGGCCCCTCTCTTCCCCTGCCTTCCCCTCCAACCTAGGTCATGGGAGAGACTGATTCCTGCAACACCCCCCACCAACCACTGCTAAATGAGCCCCACTCACTGGCTCAGCAGCTTTCCAATGACTTCTGAGATCTTATCACAATCCACCTCTCCTTGAGACTTCAGAGTCTCCCAACCATTTAAGTATTTAAAAGCCCTCTGGACATCACACAGTCTAGAGAAAAGGGCTGAGCCAATAATTCTTCCTATTTCACAGATGAGAAAAGTGAAGTTCTACACCAGAACCTGGATCCTCTTAGAGTCTGACTCTGTCTTAGAAAACCATTCCCTGAGGCCTTGCCCTTCTCCAGGCGAGGTTGACCCTTTAGTCACATCTGGGTGGGAATAAAGAGTACTAAGAGGTGAGTGGCCAATGTGACCTCTACCCTCTTCTTTACCTGCTGACCTCAGATGCAGAGTCTGTATGCATTTGATGAGGAGGAAACAGAGATGAGGAACCAAGTTGTGGAAGACCTAAAGACGGCTCTCAGGACTCAGCCAATGAGGTGAGTTGGCCTGTTTCTCCCTTCCCTCACTTCTTTCCATGCTTATACCCACTGACTTCCTCAACTCCACTCCCAGAATTTTGTGGAGTCCATATCACCCACTTTACATCTCAACTCACACTTCCCTCCTACGTTTCTGAGAGGCTGGGGGTAAGGGGTTGGGTGGAAGGGGAGGTGGGTAGATGAATGAAGAAAAGTGAATAAACCTTGGGTCCTGAGAATTTCTCTAAAGAAGGATTGAGGATAGGCATTTGGTTTTGGGGAGAAGAACAGAATGGGAGATTGGTCAAACAAAGGAGGTATATAAGAAAGGACTTTTTGGAGATGTGTTCAGGGTGAGTGACCAGCCAGGCAAGAGGTAGATTTGGGTTGAGAAATCCCCCAATCACTAGGGGGAGATGTAGAGTCTATGGATGAGATTTGGCCATCTGGGATGGGAGCCATTCAGGCAAAGAAAAGTGGATGGATGGATTTCCCAAAGACCATAGGAAGAATACTCCTTCCTTCCCAGATTGTAATGTGCAGGGTCTAGAAAGGGTCAAGAGCCACAAGGGGTTCCTCACACTTGGCTTTGTCAGTGGTGTGGTGGAACTGGCTTGTACCAGCTGGGGAGAGCCCACTGTTAACTCTTTAGCAATTTCGCAATTGGTTGTCAAATATAATTTTGATTAAAACTTAAATTGTGTAATCTTACAATTACTTAAGTTATATTGAAACAATCTTTGAAGTATGTCACTCTCTAATTACCTAGTTATTTTTCTACGTTATGCTATTACATATGCCTTTACTAAGAGATATGTTCTTGAGTTTACCCATTATATGTGCTTGGCAAGGACCCTGGACAATGATGCATCTCTTTCCAAACTTCATGTTCAATGACATCACTCTGATAGCTGGAAACCATCTGTGCTAGGAGGATTTATATCATGAAAACAGACAAATGGTACAATTAGGCTTTTTCTTTATTTCTTTCCCCAGAGGGCTAGTGATTTAATATTTACTAGATACCCACTGGGGGGTATGTGGTATGTACATGTTGTCTAGGCTAGCTCTTTGTCCTAAGAACCTGGGAACAGAGCCTGCAGGAGGATGAGAGACTTCTAATCCTCCATGTCCTTCTGATACAGTGAGATCAGTCTGGGAAGGGGATGCAGGAAAGGATGAGGTGGTCAGAACCTGGAGGGGATGTTGGCAGGTTCATTTCCCACTTCAACTCATTTTAATGTCCCTTAATAAAATTCTGATTATAGAAGTTACACATTGTAGAATACAGAAAATCATATAATAGAAAAAAGAAAAATACCTATTGTTAATTGGAGAGCATATTCTTCTGTTGTTTTAGGCATATTTGTACAACAATATAAAATACCTACAGATACATGTCTATAATAATTCTGTATATTATTCCCTAAGCCCAGTTTATGACCATCTTCTCAGGTC